AACACTGACACTGATTCACTGTACACTGTACTAATATTAAATAATACAAGAAATTCTTTGCTTTATTGAGTAATTTTTTCATATAAATACATTTTGCAATAATCTTACATACTATACATTTGTTTCTTAACGTACCATAGTACTTATCTAAGAGTGCTCATAGTTTTTATTTAAGGTTTAGAATAATGTGGTTTGGCTATATTCAATGAATATTTCTTTTCAATTTAATGTATCCATAAAAAGTTTAAAAAAAATGGATTTTCTTTTAATATTTTGTAAAAACTTAAAAATAACTTAGATCTAAGAAGAAGGGGGGATAGTAGGAAGTATATTTACAAAAGGCTTATTCTAAAGGGTATACAACACTTTGTTTTACTTCGAAATTATTTTGATTTATATTATATACAGTATCAGCTAAATTTAGAGTATTAAACTTTCTATGATAGAAGAGTAGTTTTTTTCTTTGAACAAGGCGTTGTTATTATTTAATATATTCAAATAAATAGGAGACAAGAATGTTTCTTCAAATGGAAAGCTAATAGAGTTCTCCTTAAGACAGTATTTCTCTATTAATTTATTTTTACAACTTTTTAACTTATTAACATATTTCAATGCAATTTTATCATAAATTGATCAATGCGCTCGATTTTACATTTCTCATAGAGTATTTTATTAGAAACTTTCCGTCTGTAGCCATGTCTGAATGGCCCATAATTTGTGTTGGTACAAATTCTAAGGATTGTCCTTTCAGACTGACGCAGCCTTTCCGTTTGGTTTGAGGAAATTCCAAACCAAATGGGGAAGGCATAAGCTAAAATAGGTCTTATTAATTGTTTATAGCAATTAAGTTTGATGTTGTTGCTCAAATCTTTTGCTCTTTTTAGGAAAGAAATATACATAAAAAGAATTTTTTTTGCTTTCGACAGAGTAAAATCAATATGACGAATGAACCTGAAGGTTTCATCAACGATTACTCCCAAATATTTAATCTGAGTTTGATATTTTAAAGTTGTGTTATCAATGCTAATATTAGGTATAAATGCTCGCGCAGAAGGGTACAGTCTTATTTTTAGGCCCTTGACTGCTGTGCAAATACATTTACTAGGATTTATCTTAAGTTTCCATAGTTTAAAGAAATCAGACAATTTACTCAAATATATATTTATTTCAGCATTAGCTTTTGACAAATTAGCCTTTGTTGACAGGATAAGAATTTCATCAGCAATCAATAAAGATAAACCCTCGCTCGGTTCTGGCAAGTCAGCCAAGAATATATTAAATAGCATTGGACCTAAAATCGATCCCTGAGGAACCCCTGCTACTATATCTTTTTCAATCGAGTTTTCATCCTTGTTGCAAACGTAGAACGATCTGTCACTTAAATAGTCGTAAATTATGCGACAAACGTTTTTATTGAAGCCAAAATTTTTATACATTTTGTATACTACTCCTTCAATCCATGTAGTGTCAAAAGCCTTTTCAAGATCTAGACTCACCAATATGGTTGCCTTCTTATTTCTAAGATTAGTTGTTACTGTGTCTGATAAGATAGTAAGGGCCTGATTAGTACCTAGTCTGCTTCGAAATCCGAACTGAAAATCTCTTAGTATGTCATTTTGAGAAATGTGCTCTTTGATTTTATCGAGCAAGGCACCTTCTAACAGCTTACTGATATTAGAAAGCATTGAAATAGGTCTATAACTTTTAATATTGTTTGCATCTGAGTTGGCCTTTAATATGGGCACAGTCTTAGCACATTTCCATCTTGCAGGAAAATAGCCTATTTAAATTGTAACAATGATTGAAAAGAATCGCTAAGAATTCCCAAAAGCAGGAAGAAGTTTTTCGTAAAAAGCAATTGGATACCCCGTCTTCACCAAAACTTTTCTTATTGTTTTTCCACCACAACAAAAATTCAATATCTTTACAGGATATGAACTGCTTGTATTCAGCTTTTAAAGCTGCTTCCTCATTTCCGCTTGTTGAAGACAAACCATTTGCTAAAAATGATTTATTGAAATTGAAAAATGGAGTGTATCCTGTAATATTCTCAATTTCATTTTTGACATACTGAGTATGCGCCACAGAACCTACACTTAAATTTTGAGAATGTACTTGCTCGAATCTATCAGCTAATTTGTTGATTTTCTGGAAGTTAGATTCTACCAGACAACCCTCTTCATCAATCAACTCCGGTAAATCATATTGCCGTTTAACTCCGCTAAGGTTTTTAACCTTCCGATAGGTTTTTTCATCCATTTGCATATTTTTCAAAAAATTAGACCAATACTCGTCTTCGTGTAATATCAGCAGTTCTGAAATGAGCTTGTCCATGTTTCTCCTGATGGCAATCAGGGTGGATTTCCGATGAGGCTCCATACACCTAAAAATTTTTCTCCTGATCTTTTTTCTTTCATGAATAAAATCAAGAATATTTCGTGGAATATTTAAGTTACATTTTTTCTTAATTTTTATCTTTGGTACACATTTTTCTATAGTTCTTTCAAAAACTGCGTTCATATTTTTGACGCATTCCTCAATTTCAGTAACACTCACATTCCTGTCCGTTGGCAAGCAGTGCACCGCAAGTTCCCTACTTAACATCTGGTTCATTAACTTTACGTTCGTACGTTCCCAGCACGGAATAATTACAGGAGGGGCTTCTATAGTGTCATTCGTTGAAATAATGATCTCCACGGCATCGTGATCTGAATCATAATCTAATGTTCTTAACTTATTGTGAAAATGTTCGTGATAGTTTACCGTCACAAAAGCTGAGACTAAGAAATTATCCAAAAATGAGTTACTGACCGGTCGTGACGGGTATCTTGTTGGAATAATTTGCATTAAAGGAGATTTATCGTTGCCACCATTGTTTGCGAAGGAGTCCCCCCACTTAGGATTTTTAGCATTTAAATCTCCTCCCAATACAATTTGGTTAGCCGAAATTGCATTTAATATTTTAGTTAAATCTTCACCTA